ATGTATTTTTTTCAAGGTTGAAAAATGTGTAGTAATTGATCACCCCACGTATCTCTCCTCTCTACGACAAATTGGAGGAAGTACATTCACCGCCCTAAGAGCATCAACATCCAACTTAGGTCAAGGTATTTTGTACCTTGCCAAACAGTCAGCAATTGTTTAAATAACATGGAGAATATTAATTTTCTGATTGTTTCACCCACTCCAAGCCAATGCCAAAAACCACCTAACCATTCGCCCGGTCGTTACTGTCGCGCCAGTTAGCAGAGTTCCTTCAGTTGTTCTTGGAAGTGATTGGAAACCTTTGCGAGAAACAGAATCTCCAGCACAGGTCGACGAGTGTGGAGTAGGCTCAGCAGCTCCTTGAGCGGTTTGGGTGCATACAACTCCAGCTGATTTACTTTTAGATGACCATAAGTCCAGCTCGGGTTCAGCTACAGCTTCTTAACCACGGCTCCTTATTTGTCTGATGTACCTGTAGAACCTATAGGCAATCCTGAATTTAGATTCGGTCAACTAAATTATTGAAGCTTGATCAATGACAATGGCCAAGTGCGGATACTAGAAAGTACCGCCGGATGATGTAAAACCGAGGGAAATAACTTTCCCCGCAATGAGTGACACCTCAAAACCACTCTTGGCTTTGATGTGGTTAAGGCAGCTATCGACTACTCGGCGTAGTTTGGAGATCCCATGGCTTCCGATGAAAACAAATGCGACTCAGATTTGCACATGCTTAATAGCACCACCGGTGAAAGCCCTCTGGCTGCTGAAAAAGGTAAACCGACCTCTGACGTGCAGGACTGGTGTACGATTGGGAGTTTTAGGACATCTTCAGGATGATGGCTAAATATTTTCATTTTGTTTGAAAATGTGTTAATTTTTTTGTACCCACGACTATCAAGAAATGGGACATTACCCCAAACGTCTGATGAATTTACCGCCGTGAAAAAGATTCGGTTTAAAATATGTTAAATATTAAAATATTTGTGTGATACCAGAGGCAAAATCTATGAATTGATTCAATATTATTTGGCAGTTGACTTCTTTTTTTTTGTTAAATGGATTTCGGTTCACAACGGCAAATAAAAATTTTATAAAATTCTTCATTATGTATTGTAAGATTCGTTTCGTAATCCAATAATCGGATTTAAACGAAATAAGTGTAGGCCACGTCTAAGGTACCACCTTCCTTTAGAAAAAGAATTATAGAAATCAGTTAACGTTGTCCAAAAAAAAAAAAAAATATATATATATATATATTCCGACGAATTGATAATTCTCCTTTTTTAAAGTCGGTTAAAAAGGAGCTCGTCCAAATACGTAGAAAAATGTCGAATATTCTAAATATTTTGTTATATTTCTAGTATATTTTTTTTTTGAAATTAACTCACAAGTTTCTCGGTCGATTAATGAACTTTACATATACAGCATCCTTAAAAATACCTTAACATTTATCAAAATCTAACAAAATTGTATGGGCATGTATGTATGGTATCTCTCCAAGTAAGCTTTCCTTTAGTTGAAAGATACAAATGACTCTGCATTAATATTGAAATTTCACTAAAAACTTTGGTTTCCTTTTTTCATTTTTTTCTCAAATTTGGCATTTACTCTTCGCCCATTAAAACACACATGAAGCGCCAAAATGATTGCATACTTAAATACTTACATACATACGATACCTACATATATATGTATGTATGATGGAGTATGTATGATGGAGTTCTCCGTACCGAATTGCCTGAGGGATCATCCATAGTGGGTTTTGCAGACGACATTGCGGTAGTAGTGTCTGCGAAACTGCTTGATGTCATATGCGAAAAGGTAGCATCATCAGTCGGCGTGATTAATAGCTGGTTAAATAGCTTCGGCCTGAAGCTAGCCGAGCAAAAAACAGAAGCAATACTTATCTCGAGTCGTAAGAAACTAGAGGAGGTAGCGCTAAAAATTGGCGACCACACCATCACGACGAAACCCACAATTAAATACCTGGGAGTGGTGCTAGACAAGCGTCTTACTTTCAGCGCCCACCTGAGCTATGTGAGAGAGAAAGCAGCTTCAACGATCACGGGACTATCGCGAATAATGCTTAATACGCGAGGACCGAAACAGCGCAGGCGTTTACTCTTAGCGAACGTGGTTAAAAGCCAAATACTGTATGCGGCCCCAATTTGGTCAAACGCCGCACAGTGTCCATCATACTTCCGCGGAGTCAACTCAACATACCGTTTATGCGCGCTCCGAGTTCGCAGCGCCTTCAGAACAGTGTCGGACGAAGCAGCTTTCGTAATCGGCAGTATGATACCCGTAGATATACTAGCAAGAGAATCGACGGTCCTTGCATCCACGCGGCGTACTCTAACTCAACTAGACCGACATCAAGCCCGGCAAAGCAGCGTTACGGAGTGGCAAAACAGGTGGAATAGTACGACTAAAGGTCGTTGGACCTATCGCTGCATACCAAACCTGGTATCCTGGCTTAATAGAACGCATGGCGAAGTAGATTTTTATCTGAGCCAGTTCTTGAGTGGTCATGGCTGTTTTAAGGCATACCTGTTTAAATTCAAACATGAGCACGACCCCTACTGCGACTTCTGTCTAAGTGGCGTGGAAGAAGATGTCCACCACGTATTCTTTGAGTGCCCTCGTTTCCATCGGCAGATGAACCAACTTAAACTTGCCGTTGGAGGGGTGTTTACGCCACAGTCAGTAGTCGACTATATGGTGAAAGGAACCAGCGAATGGGCATCCACCAGCGATACACTAACTTCGATTTTGAAGGAACTGAGGGACCTAGAGAGACAGCGGCGTATCAGCCGTGCTTAAGCCAACTCTTAGCATAGCCGCGGACTGGAACTAAACTATGATGCTCACCAACCAAAGCGTAGGCGCGGACTGGAACCTAGGCCGTTCCAGCCGCTCGAGCAGTGCGGCTTAGAAAGTTGTGCTTTCAGACCGCACCTTGAACATGAAATCTAACAATTAAAGCGCATGCGTGGACTGGAACTTAGGGCGTTCCAGCCGCTCAGGTGGCAATCTCGAAAATTTGTGAAATCGATAAATACGCGCGGACTGGAACCTATGGCGTTCCAACCGCCCAAGTGGCAATATCGAAAAACTATTGCAATCGAAAA